GTACAGTTGCCTCACAGCGACTGTGCGGATTCTGTGCACTTGTGTGGATGTTCTTCGTGGAACCTGAGATCAGCTGAATTTGACGCTCAGAGATCAGATTCTACCAAATGAACACCCATGTAAAAAGTAAATATGCTAAGTACACTAAATCTTAGCGTACTTGAAGCCAGACTAAGCATCAGTATACTTAAAGCAGGTTATTTTGGAATTTTATGCTAAATATGTATATTTTAGTTGTAATTAAATTGTGGGAAAAAATCACAACTTGAAGTGTTTTAGCGTACTATGATTTGCTAAAGTGGAACAACTTCAAGTATAATTTGTAGACTTTAAGTGCAGGGTTTTATGTACTAACATGTTTAATTAGTAAAATTTAAGTGTACTAATTTTGTAAAGTAATTACCTTTAAATTATTTTAAATGTCTTCCAAATTCACAAGCATTATCCTTTTTAAATATTAGTAATGTGATGACAGTATGCTCTGTTATACTTATTATTAGTAAGGAAGTGCAATTTTTAGCTAATTATTATAATTAATATCCTTTTTTACTCTATGCAACTTTGTACAATATATGTTTTACTTCACGCTAAGGTACTGATTAGGCTACTAGCATACTGAAGGCTGAATTAAAACATTTCATACAAGTTATTCCTTATCGTTAACATTAAATGTTATTTATTTGCTTTTTTTTACATTTATTTGCTTTATTACATTTACCATGCACAAACTGCAATAAAACTAGACTGTGAACTTAAATAAACTCAAACAAAAATAAGCCTGTGCTCTGTAAGGTGTGGCCCAAACTCCCATATCTCAAAAGTTTGTTTTGCATCAGGCTGTAAGATAAACAGAAGGATAGCTTTCATTTTTTTTTTAGTGGTGCAAAAAAAGACTTGTGGTGCAAAAGATTCAGTATTTCTAAGTCACACTGTAAAGCTGGTAAAAATCAGTCGCGACCCACTTTCATTTGATTAAAATCAGTTTTTTATGCATTAAATACAAAAATAAATGTCTTTTTATATAATAAGCTGCTTCTTTTCCACAGAATGGTGTCTTGCTTCACAGTGAGGGGTGTGTTTGGGACTTGTCATGCTTTATTTAAGATCTTTGTCTCAACGTGCTTTGTTGGTTTTGATGGTAGGGTTCTATAGGTTTTTGCAGACTGGATAAAAGTTGAAGATCCACAAGTCCATATTTGCTTGTTGGACTTGGAGAAGAGCCTGGAGACCCTAGAGAACAGTGTAAAGCAGAAAATGACGGGGCTTGGTGATGGTCCTGCTTTCAGAGTGATGCAAACTCGAAACCAGTTGGTCAGACAGCGCTGAAGCCCCTGATTTACAAGTTTCTCTGCATTTGTGCTCACACCTTTGGTTACTACTACCTGTGACCTGACCTCAAAAGAATGAAGTAGTAAAATAAGCTTCTTTCAAAAGGTTTAGGAGATAACTCTCAGAGATATGGTAGTCACACTAAAAAAGGGAATTTAGGGAAGAATCCACGTTGGACGGCTTTGAACATTTTTGTGAATTAGATAAAGCCTCGAGGGGAAAAAAAGAAAAGATGTTAAAAGCCATTTGTTTCTCCAAGACTGGACGCGCGTGATAAGGTAGCTGAACAGAGAAAGTTCAAAAAGGTTTGTGGAGATTATTGGTCTGAAACCAAGGCTTAATCAGATTTTTTTAGTGTGATCGCCTACCCGAAACTGAGAAATTAGACGGGTCATTTGTTAAAAAACAAACATCAAACAGTGTTTTTGGTTTAGAGAAAATTTAAACACTTTTGATTTTGGCAAAATAGATGTGGTTAAGTCTTTTTCAAAATGCTTTACATTTCTTTCCAAATAATGCAAGTCTTATTAAACTTTTTGAAAAGCACAAGACTACAGATTAATCCATTAAGATGTTCTCCACACTTATATTTTATTTTAACTTTCAGACATGAACACATTTTCTCATACATGTTCCTCCAGTTAATCCTATCAATGCATGAAACATGAATGGATGTGCAGCATCGAGCTTGCTGAAATAATTTTCAGATTACAGAAGCGAGAGTGAGCCGCTGGTATTTGTATCTGGGGAGTGAATCATTTTGCCCTAAAGGATATTCTGATGCGCTGTATTAAACTCTGGGAAGGCAACACCTTTCCTGGAGTTGTCAAGGTGGCTCTCAACAAGTTCTGACAGATACAGCCCTGTCTGAACAAGAAACGCTTTAGGTCTCCCTCCTGAAAGTTGATCTTCAGTTCAAAATCCTGTCTTGGAAATGACTTGTTAAAGCTACAAAGTAAGAGAACTGTTGAGAAAACCGTGTGACACCCTCGAAGGCCCAAAAGGTGTTCAAATTTGGAAAGTTGAAACAACTACGTTAAGTATTTTTTTAAAATAAAAATTCTTTGTTTCCTCACTTGTTACTTATTTCCTTGTCTTGTGATTTTCCTTCCAAATTAATGAAGTCAAATTTGCTTTATTAGTTTATTTTTTATTGACGGGTATAACTGCATAGATTAGCTCTCTGCCTGCAGAAACCCTCCTGCAAAGACAGTTTTCTCAGCTCAAGCACTTTCTTCAGGTTTCTAATGCAATGAAATCCTGTTAAAAAGAAAAATCTAAGTCTTCTCTCTATTTTCATTCACTACATGCTACACACACATACACATTTATTAGAAATCACCAATGATTTGTTACAGTGCAGGCAAAGATTTGCTGGATTAAATTTGACTGAAACTCTCAAAGAGTCATCGGACGTCCATCTACAACTGATTAACTTGACATGTAACCAATCCATTGGCCACCACAGGAAATTGACTTTGGCAAAAACAAAAATGTCTGTAGCTACTTTGGTCAGTTTTGCAGACGTTGAGCTAAACTTTGGTGTGGTAATAGCTAAGAGTCTTTCCCAGGGAAGCTTCTGTGATCGAACAGATTGCATAAGATAAATGGCGTATAAAGTGGTAGGTGATATGCAACCCTTCAGAGGATGCTAGCTTCTTGATGTTGCCTTTGAGATTTGCATAACCATGTTGCAATGACCACTGAAATAAAAATGCTAAACAAAAGCACAAAAATAGTAAATATTAAAAGGCAACAGTTGTATTTTTCTGCATCACAGCATGACCAATGAAGTGTACTGAATGGAAAAGTCATACATGCTTCAGACAGCGATAAGAGCGCGACACCATACTGGAAGGCGCAGACTGTCGATGCAAACTATTTAATATGGCTATATTTCTAAGTGTGAAACATATTTTCATTATTTATCTCACTTTCTGAGGCTAAAATCCCAATTTCACTTTCAATTTATTATTAAGCTCACTGTTCTTGCATTTTTGAAATTCCTACGAAACGTTAGATTTAAATGTTAGATGTTTTGTCTAAATCCTAAATCTAAATAACTAAAATGTAAAAGTTAAATCTTAAACATTGTGATTAAATGTTGAAGTTTAAATTGAAGTATCTGGAAATGGAAAGCAGCCTTTGCAGTTTGTGCAAAGCTTCTGTTATGACGTCATCATTCTAAGACAAAAGCAACCGCTAACGATGCTAATAACGTTAACACTGCTGGCACTGCACTACAAGACATTGATCTTGCAGTTGCGGCTGGTGTCCGAGCTGCACGTCAATCCGCTGGACCACAGGGCTCACGTTGTTTTCAATGAACACATTTAGGAATAGGAATTTTGTATGCCATATTCAGCAGTGTTAGCATTCGCTTTTGTTGCACGATGACGATGTCACAACCAAAGGCTGTGTTCCAGTTCAATATTATTAAATGTAAACTTTAGCATTTAACTGTAACATTTAAGATTTAATTGTTAAATTTAAATTTACACTTTAAGATTGATTTAATATCAACATATATTATCTAACCATTAAATTTAGTGTTTGGTAAAAAATGAGTAAAAAATAAAAACAATTAGCTCAATAACAATAAAATATTCGTGGAATTTATTAGCTAGGATTTTACACTCAGAAAGAGAGATAAATAATGACAGTGTGTTAGTGACACTTTTAAAAACATTTTATTTTAGACTTGGTGCCCCACAGATTTGCTCATAGAATTGTGTATAAACATTAGTTTTTCATTGGTTAGCTTCTGCCCATTTAAAACCATCATTCATTGCATACGCCTGTATGAAACATGCTTTTGTCCGATATAATAATATGTATTGAAAACATTTCTATCAAATAAAAATAATAGTTTTCAATAATAAAGTGAATTTCATTGATGTGCTGAGTTAATTTAATACAGTATGTCATAGTTACTATATTCAGCTTTACCGGCAACAACTCTGTCTGTTTAAAAGTCCTCGAGCCAAACAATATGGCCGACCTCTCTGACCAAGAAATGTCACATGATAGCTTCTCTATTCAATACATCTCATTGAGCGTGAATTATAAACCCAGCATGACTGAGTAGATCCTTTTCTTCATTCATGATTAACACGTGGAGCGAAATTAAATTGTATCTTATTCTATCAAATACAGTGATCTAGAGAAATTAAAAAAATTGAAATGTAAACTTTATATAGTGGTGTTGCCTAAAATGTAAATGACATTTTCAACAAATATTCTTTACCACAATGTATCATCACAAGGTTAGCATTATGAACTGGAGCTTCTGTTGTAATATAAAACCAGCTGAAACTCTTGCAAATAATAAAAACTGATGCATTTAAAGTCCCTCATCTGTCTAGTCCTCCCTGACTGAAGCTGTTTTTGCCAGAACTATCTGAATCCCACTCCTCGCCCTCAGTGCAGATGGCATTCTGTGAACATCAGGGTGTGTCGAGCCAAGATCACTTCACAAGGGCGACACTTCTACCTGTCTGACAAGCTGTGCTGCTCTGAGGCTGTCAACCTGCCAAGAGCTCAGCTCCTAGGTTCCAGGTAATTGGAGGAGAGCTGGGGAGGAGGTGCAGGAGAGGCCGAGCTTCTTAGGACCTCCTCCTGTTTGAGGCATATAAGAATCCATCCCTGAGAGGTAGAAGGTACTTAGAGGGACTTGGCTCTCCTCTTAGTGTGCTCCACTTCTCTGCCACACCTCTCTCTGTGTCTGCTCCCTCTTTCCTCCCTACTGCTCGGAAGAAACTAGACCAGCCATGTCGACCCAAACATACTCGAAAACTGTCAGGACCAGCTTTGCTACCGGCGGTGGCGGTGGCGGCGGCAGCCGCAGTGGATCATATTCCTCAAGATCTGCCATCATCCCATCCAGAGGATCATTTGCCATGTCCTCAGCCAGCATGGCTGGTGGCTCGAGGCTGAGGGCAAGCATGGGTGCTGGCGGCGGCTATGGGGGTGGCGCTGGCTATGGTGGAGGTTTTGGTGGCGGTGCTGGTTTCGGTGGTGGTGCTGGTTATGGTGGTGGAGCCGGTGCTGGTTTTGGTGGTGGCGGTGCTGGCTATGGTGGTGGTGCCGGCTCTGGTTTTGGTTTTGGTGCTGGTGGTTTCGGAGCAGGTGGAGCAGGAGGAATCCCTCCAACAATCACAAATGTCCAAGTCAACCAAAGCCTACTGGCCCCTCTGCACATCGACATCGACCCCAACATCCAGACTGTCCGCACTCAGGAAAAAGAGCAGATCAAGACCCTCAACAACCGCTTCGCCAGCTTCATTGACAAGGTGAGTGAAAAAGTTCTAACTCTGTTGATGTGCACCAGTTTGAATGAACTACAGATGTCAAATGTGCTGTAGAATTTCTGTTTTAGGTGTATTTATTATAACTTTATATTGTGCATGTGCAAGATTTGTGCTAACCAACTTAGTATTATCAGCACTGTCAAGTCAAACTGTAGTGTAGACGAATGACATCCCTGGGAGTCATGATGTGTGCCTACTGTTCACCACTGCTGCTTTCTTAATTTCATTTGAGCACAACTGGCCCTCTGCCAGGTCTCTGTGCAGAGTAAAAGGCAGGAAACACTAGAGTAGCTGTATCAGGTGACTGCTGGCTTTCTGTGGCAGAGGAAAAGAGTATTGGGTTAACAGCTGTTACTATAGCAGCAACAATGGGCAACCTTTATTAGGAAGGTTGACTGATTTTAAAACAGTACCCCTGTGCCCAAACTCTGCAAACTCTACATATTTTGGGGGGCTGATTCAATATTTTTTTTGTCCGTTCACGCATCAATACTTTGACAAACTTCAAATGAAGACTCTGTCAGGTGAAAACGTTTACCACACCCTGTGTGAGAAAGTGTTCAGTTAGCTTTCTCTGCAGTGTACACGCCACACCTTAAAAGTCCTCAGACAGGTGACTTCAGCTTTTTTAATGAAAAAAAGTGGAAATTAAGAAATGCATGCAAGTATTATTATCAGAAAACATTTTCTCATATTTATTTTTGTAGATTAAGTTCATTCATAGAAGCAAAATTTAAGGCGTGCTGCAAAGATGAGGGATGATTCGTCTGTTGGGCGGACAGGTAGTAGCTTCGGGCATGATCCAGTAATTACAGGCATGTTCACTCAGTGAAAGTATGCATCTGCAGGCAGGGAGGCACTAATGTCAGGTGGTTCAAGGGGAGGGGCCAAACTAAGGTGTGGGTTACCTTTTTGTAAGCTTCAAACCCTGACACAAAAGGCTCAATTTTACACAAAAAACTTTGTGTTTTATTCTCATGATTCTAGCCTGTTATTTAACAGAAACAAGGGCCTATTTTTTTAGTTTTCCTCATAAGATAAAGTAATGTTCAGTAACCATGTGAAGCATCTAGTACATCTCTGCCTTGAGGGAGATGTAAACATGGCAGCAGGTAGTATTTTGTACACATCAGCTAAACCTGTGGGAATGTCACATAGAGGTAGCGTCTCTTCAGCGGCAGTGATTCTAACTGTGGAAAATGTCTGTGTAGGTCCGCTTCCTGGAGCAGCAGAACAAAATGCTCGAGACCAAATGGAGCCTGCTGCAGGAACAGACCACCACACGCTCCAACATCGACGCCATGTTCGAGGCCTACATCGCCAACCTGCGCAGACAGCTGGACGGGCTCGGCAACGAGAAGGTCAAGCTGGAGGGAGAGCTGAAGAACATGCAAGGCCTGGTGGAGGACTTCAAGAACAAGTGAGTTTCAGGCGTCTTTGAAGGCAAAGCGCAAACCTACGTTAAAGACGGTGCTCACAATCACCTTCCGTCTTTCCTCTGCTCGTGTCAGATATGAAGATGAAATCAACAAGCGTGCAGCTGTGGAGAATGAATTTGTGCTCCTCAAGAAGGTGAGGGCTCTTACAGGGTTGTTCACTCCCGGATATTCCACACAGCAATTGCCGCATGAATTATTAATTTGCCCGAGGCTTCGCTCAAATGCACAACTCTTCTCCTCTTTCAGGATGTAGATGGTGCCTACATGAACAAAGTTGAGCTGGAGGCAAAGGTTGATGCCCTTCAGGATGAGATTAACTTCCTCAGAGCTGTCTTCGATGCTGTAAGTTAAAAAGAAAAACTCGCTCAAGATAATCCAACTAGTCTGAAGCTATGAGCTTTAAAACAACACGTGTGTTGTGTGCAGGAACTGCGCGAGCTCCAGGGACAGATCAAGGACACCTCAGTCATTGTGGAGATGGACAACAGCCGCAACCTGGACATGGACGCCATTGTGGCTGAAGTCAGGGCACAGTACGAGGAGATAGCCAACAACAGCAGAGCCGAGGCTGAGAAGTGGTACCAGCAGAAGGTAAGAGAGGGTGTCTGGTTGTGCCAAAAAAAACTGGGTCCAGTTTCCGAAACGTGTACTCAAACCTTTCCGATCTCATCCCCCACAGTTCCAGGAGATGCAGACCTCAGCATCACAGGCCGGAGACGACCTTCGCAACACCAAGAGCGAGATTGCTGAGCTCAACCGCATGATCAGCCGCCTCCAGAACGAGATCGAGGCAGTCAAAGCGCAGGTAAAAACGCTTGCGATCGACACGTCGGGGTAAACCTCGGAATGAGCATCATGCTGAGGCTTCTGCTTGCTTTTCAAACCACCCAGCGTGCCAACCTCGAGGCCCAGATCGCCGAGGCTGAGGAGCGCGGGGAGCTGGCCGTGAAGGACGCCAAGGCCCGCATCAAGGACCTGGAAGAGGCCCTTCAGAGAGCCAAGCAGGACATGGCCCGCCAGGTCCGCGAGTACCAGGAGCTCATGAACGTCAAGTTGGCCCTGGACATTGAGATCGCCACCTACAAGAAGCTCCTGGAAGGAGAGGAATCCAGGTAGGGTGTCAGCTACATCGAATCCACTGCCGCTTCAGTTTAGATGCGCAGCGGCTAAATGTCTCCATCTGTGGTCTTTTGCAGAATTGCATCTGGAGGTGGAACTGCAACCATCCATGTACAGTCCACAAGCACCAGCTTTGGTATGTATGAACTCAATCCTTTGCAAGTTAAACAAAAAAAAAAGTTGATCAATTGTTCAAAGAGAATATTTTATTCTCCCTGACAGGAGGTGGCTCAGGAGGTGGCAGCGGCGGCGGCTACGGTTATGGTGGCGGCATGGGCGGTGGCCTGGGCGGTGGCCTGGGAGGTGGCCTGGGCGGTGGCCTGGGAGGAGGCCTGGGAGGTGGCCTGGGCGGCGGCTTTGGAAGTGGCATCGGCGGCGGCATGGGAATCGGCGGAGGCTACGGCAGCGGAATGAGTTCCGTGAGCACGAGGAGCAGCAACATCTACTCGTCACACCGTTAAAACACATGTCCCTTCTCTTCGTTCTTCTTCCTTTGTTTTGTTCTTCCTCTCTTCAAACCCCCACCACCACCACCCCTCAAACCTCCACCTTTGATCGCAGACACAGAGGCGCCTCGGGAGTATGTTTTAGTTGAACACCCACAACTGACACATCCACGTAGAGTCAGAGTTTACATCCAAACACAAGCTGAGGCAGAAAAATTCAACCAAAGATAAAGAGCCGCAGAAACACGAGTCAGTCCAGTCTTCTTCTCATCAGTCAGCCTGGCTGCCTTTAGGTTGCTGGATGTGTTGTTGTACAGACAGGGAACAAACAAAAAGAAATACTTGTAGTGCTACAACAAAGAATCCTCACAAAGCAACATTCAATGCACACAAAAAGGGCAAGTACAGGGAAGTATAGGTGAAGTGAATGTTTCTTTTTTTCAGGCTTGAATTTGTCAGACATTCATGCAGATTCCCAACTCTGACTTCTCCTTTATGCAGTTTGACCTCAGAGGTCATTTTGTGCAGCTCAACATCTGTAAAAGCAGCCGCATGTACCACATAAGTTGGATCTTCTTTTATTCTTTTTCATGTTTTGAGAACAGCAAAAAAAAAAAGATCTCTTCTCTGTCAAAAAATAAATGGTGATTGATCGTGCTTTGCTTCCATTTCCACTTTGATCAACAACAGTAATACAAGGCTGACTGCCAGATTTATTGTGAATTCCATCAAAACATCTGGAATAAATCTGTGTTAAAATTCATTTTGACTGATGTGCTTTTTTCCTTTTTGTTTCTGCTCAACGGTTTTGCGCAAAAATCATGTTCCATTTGCTTAAAAACTGTAAAAAGGTCTAAAATGTCCACATTATAGTATCTATTATAACAATAAATAAAACAAAAAAATAAATTAAATGTCACAAATGTAGATAAAATTGGGCAGATTTATCATTTTAGTATATAGAGAACTTAATAATTATATTTAACTAATAATGCTGGCTAAAACTTACACCTATAAAAAGTTGAGCACGTTTTCTTGCAAGCTTAAAAGACTCAATACCAGCCAGCAGCTTTAATATATAGAGTTAGATTGAACAAATATAACATTTAAAATAAAATTCCTAAGTTATTACAAACTTAAGATGCAAATACTTTATGTTTCCAAGACTAAAAAAACATTTTAGCTGCACTGATCCTGCACTGTTTGCCCCTTAAAAGCATTATTCTGTTCAATTTTACTTCTTCCCTTAGACGGAGTGTGATACTCAACTCAAATCAACAACTATATTTTGATATGATGGTGTCTTTTTAAGAACAGATTCATTTATATGTAACTTATATAAAGCGATATTAAGAGGGAATACGTAAAATAACTTGCTAGCAGCCTCTGGTGATGGCAGCTCAGCAGATTCTGACAAGTTCTGTCAGCTCTGTGGACATGCCACTCATACGCCTCTGGCAAGTGGAAGGCAGAGTGCCAAAGGTTTGACTGGGTGGAGATGAATGCAAACACGTCCGAACAGAAACATCAAAGGAGGAGTGCGTTGGAAAGTTGACAGGTGTGACATGACACCTGTCTGCAGCGGAGACCTTTAAATATGACGCAGTCTTCGTGTACTCACCTGGGTTTGTGCAGTGCTCTGGTTGTATGATGAAGTCCAGAAAAACTATCTAGAAAAATAATTTTTCTGCTAAAATCCACTGTGAACCTGAGAGCTGAATGACCTGAGGAGAATTGCTGAAGCAGAAACTGAGTTGTAATAAAAAGCTAAAAAAAAGGGCCAAGCATACTCTGAAAGCCAAAGTAGCAAACACCTGGCTACAAACGAAGCAAAAGACTGGATAAAACCTAACAAAAGCCACAGGCTATCTAAAAGCTAAATAAAGCAAACATAGTGTCTATAGCTAAAACTATCAACAAGTCCAAAGTAGCAATAAGCTTGCTGAAAACAGCAAAATGCTAGCTAAAAGCAGCAGAAGGCAAAGGAAAGCTACAGGGAGCAAAATAGTGACTAAAGCTAAAAGTATTAAAAAGTCCAAAGTAGCTATAAGCTAGCTTAAAATAGCAAAAGGTTAACTAGATTCTAAGTAGCAAAAGGCTAGCTGAAAAAAAGCCGAATAGTAGCTAAAAGTAGCACAATGAGGATATTTATGAGATCTCAGTGTATTTCCATGAGGGAAAATAATTAAAATTTTTATTTTATTTTATTTTATTTTATTTATTTTATTTTATTTATTTTGAGAAATATAAAAGTACCCAACTCCTGAACATTTTCATACTGT